ATTGATTAACTCATTATGCAAATTATTAGCCATTCTTCATATAGGATCCCACAAGCGAACCACATTGTATTCAGCAGACAAAAAGAGGATAATTCCTTCCAAAAAAAATACAAAAGAAGTGAGTTAAAACTTGTAGAAGTACAATGCTCCAATGCAGTTTTTAAACTATTGCAGATATTACTGGAAGTGATAGATGATACTTCTGCTTTGAAAATCATAAAATAACTTACTTGCGTCAGAATGAGTTGCTATTAGGAAGATTTAAAAATAACTGAAGAATAAACATAGAAACATATCAATTCCTAACCAACAAGTATTTTCTCATAATCCAAAAGAAAGTAACTAATAATAGAGAAATAAGGAAAGAAAATCTGTTAAATGTAACATTCTTTAATAGAATATTAGTTAGAATTTTTGCTAAGGTATCAGCAACTCTGGACAAATCACTGTAAGGAGATTTTGGTATTCTTTACAAGTAATCTTGTATTTGCCTAGCAGCTTCTATTCATAAAACTAGAACTGAAACTGATTTATTGGCATTATCACCAGATCTGTCAAATCTGTCCGTGAATTCTGAGAGTTTGTGCCAATAACTGATTTTTATTTATCAGATTAGCTGCCAAACTGAAAGGAAAGAAAGCGTTAGTATAACAAAACAGAAAACAATGGGGATTGCTGTTTTATACACTAACCAGTTAGTTTACAGTCTCTACTCTCTAAGGGGAGACCCCTTATTAGTCCTAGAATGAACACTTCTCACTGATCAGACTTCTTAGTCCTATCTAATCAGAGTTTGTAGGGTATTGGGGGTGCTTTTCCCTGATTTAGCTGTTCCTCTTGAAGAATATTAAATGCCTATCTGAACAGGGATTAAAAGCTGAGGGTGCTGCACATCTCCAGTTCCTGGTTTATACATCAGGCTTGACTCATTCAGACTCAGTGAACACTTATGTGAAAAAAAATGAAGAGTTTTATTCCAAGATCTCTATTAGTTTGAGTGAACGTATCTCTCCTCAAACAGGAGAGGGAAAACCTCTGCCTTGTGCACTCTCCCAGATGAATGCATTTGTGCCTGGGCTTTGGGGTGAAAGGCAACATCACTTCCACCTTCCTTTTCTTGCTTATAAATCTCACTAGTCATATCCTAGGGTTTTGGATTCAGACTGCTTGATGAAGTTAAAAAAACATCAAGAGAAAGTATTGGCATCTCTAGAACATTCTATTTGTTTCATGTGAATACTGTATCATTGCCTTCCCTTAAGCTGCAGGTTTTGCCAGGTTCTATTGAGAACAGTCTCTAAAAGATGAATGTTTTCTCTTTGGTTTTTAGAAGTTTCTCTGCAGCATATGAGTGAGAACTTTAAAATGGTAGGATTATATATTTAAAAAAAAAAAAAACAGTTTAAAAAAAAATATTTTGTCATAAGTTTTCTGATCCACTGACTGCTATTTATAAAGTCTGAAACTGTCCAACAGCCCTTATATCTACACAGCTATTTCCTTTTTGCCTCAATATTCAGCAGAGTCAACTTGTTTATCTTTCCTGCAGGATCCCTCATGTTGGACATATAGTGTTCTTAGCAGGAATTATTGTACTCCTTGAAGAAAATTTAAGAAACAAAGTGGTGAGCAGCAACTCTAAAACAGAATTAATACTGTCAAGGCTCTCCATCGTCTCCAGATTCTTAAATATTTGGTCCTTGACTAAAATCTAGCCAGTTTTTAGTTCCCTTGCCAAATGTCAAAATAGAATGCATGCTTCCTACCTGGACTACATGTGTCTGGCAGCCTGGATATGCTTATACTTCAATCAAAATGCAAAGTCCATCTGAGTACCATGGTGATGCATGCTTCATTGGTGTTAATATTGACTTAACTCTGAAGCAAACAAGGCAATTATTTGCTGTGCAACACCTCAAATGTTCTAAACAGCTTGAATGAAAATCATATTTTTGATGTGGAAATGTGGAGGGATCAAAAATTAATATAAAGAATATGATTTCTTATTTATTCCTGTACATTTGAGTAGTAGTATTAACATGACAATAAAATTGGTAAAACATCTGTAATTTTAAAAAAAAAGTAATTTCTTAAAAGTGAAACTTTCATTTGGCTTCTCAGAGCTATTTAGCCTAGTTGGGCTGGTAGCAATGGAGACCAACATAGCATCAGAGCCTGTAGCAATGAGGGATTGTAGAGCTAACCCTTAAACTGCAGACAATTAGGGGAGAGTGAAGTCTGATGAACGCTGTTTTGATCTGTGTGATAATTTACAGGGAGAAATTGGAGTTTTCATATGACGTTGTGATTAATAGTATTGCATTGGTACCAGCTGACAATTCTTCTGGCCTAGGACAAGAGAAATGCCATTCTGGTGTCACAATAGCTAAAAAAGAACCTTTTAATTTATTAACAAGCAGTATTAAATCATAAATAAAAATGCTATGGCAATAAAATCCATCCTAACCAACAATACAGGTAAGAAGGGGCTGAACAGAATTCTTAAAGGGATCTTGGATCATAATGTTTTGCAGCCCACAGATTTCTCTAACAAGTGTTTTTTTATGTTCCAGCAGCAGATATTTGCAGGGTGATTTCCTTAATTGTGCTAATATAGTCATACAAATCTACGTGCAGTAAAAAATAATTTTCCTAGACTTTAAATATCTAGCAAAATACTGAAGCCCTAAACAATTTGTGTTTGTATTTAATTTCATTTTCACAAACAAATGATGTCAGATCTGTAGTTTTCTGTAGTGCCCCACTTCTAGTGTATGGTTTCACTGGGAAGCATTAACAGTGAATCAGTCAACTGCTCTGCTTTTATTTAGACAGGTGGAATACAGATATTAAACTTCTACAATAAACAGATGCCTATCTGAATTTGACAGAATTTTTAAAAATGGGATTTTTTTCATGTTTTCTAAGCTAATGTGAACACTGTGCATATCCTTTACTACAAGCCAGGATTACTCACCAGATCTGCCAATCCCCAAAATTACTTTTTTAAAAGGCCATGTACAAGTCAGTGAAAAACAGCTCATCCCTTTGAAGGTTCAAGACAGGCTAATATTTTCCTTTTCAGGAAAGATAAGGATGAAATATCAGGAAGCCCTGGTATATATGGAGAAGTGATACTTAAAGGCAGCCTTCTATTCAGAATTATTATTCTAGGGAAGACTTTCATGTAGTGCTGCAACTTAGCTTACTGTCATTGACAAAAAGTTAATTTTTAAAGAAAATGATCTTCTAGGTGACCAAGTGGAATTGACTTACAAATTTAACAACACACCTTCTATCAATATATGCTGTGTGGACTAAAACAGCAACTTTCAGTTTGACACAATCTGAGTTAGCTATAAAATGCCAAAACCCTGACAAAATATAACAAAAATGCACCTGTGAAAAATTAGGCATTAATTATCAACAGTCTCTAGTGTCTTAAGCTACAGGACTGCTGTTTTAGTTCAGTAGCAAAGTACTCACTTGGGAAACTTGTGATATAATTTTAGAGCAGTTTCTCAGATGACTTTTCTATTTCAACAGCTAATTGAAAAGAGTTTGCAGAGGCAGCCACGTTCATTCACCTCGTTAACCACTTAATGATCTATAATAGGGGAAGAGATCCTGCTCCCATGGAATCATATAGTCATCTAATTCATTTAGAGTATTTTCAATTTGGTATTATTTTAGAGAGGAATAAAATGTATCCACCTGATAAACTTATCCTTTTGAACATCAGAAATATTTAGAGCAATATACTTCCAGAATACAAACCAGATATACTTGTATCCATTAACAGAACATAGCTTCCTCACCATATATAAATCCAATATTGTGCTAGTTGGATTTAAAAATATTTAATTTTACTAATTTCTACTGTAGCATATTAAAATAAAATGTATTTAATTTAGATTTCTGCAGTGTCCTTTCCCAGATGTTTACTGTTTTGGTTGCATTTCTACTCCAGAATTATACTTTAAAAGTGGTAGCACTCAACGTAAATGGCTAACATTATTGTAAAACCTTGAATAGCATTGTAAATCAGAAAACAGCTAAACTTAGTGAACAATATTACAGAAAAAGCAGAAACTTGATCCCTTAGATGTAAGAAATGTATTTTCTAGGAATAAATTGAATTACACAAAAGGTTGTGTGTTGGACAAGAATTGCTTCCATGTGGATCCACTGCTAGGATTGGGACCTTTGCCTTTGGGATAGCATCTATTCTCTTGGGCATTTTTACAGTTTTCAGAATGGTACTTTGAAAGCCATTATGATGAACGCATCAGCTATAGGTACTGTTTTGCATTGATCATCTTTGGGTATAAAGCTGAATATTAATGGAATGCACAGTACTTAAAGAAATAGTAATGGTATCAGCAATCATCAGGCAGTAATCAGGATCTTCAAAATTTTGTACTTTTCAGGAGCAGTGGAAAATGTTTTGGAAATGAAACAGTTGACAGCTATGAAAGTCCAATGTATGTGTGTCCGGACCTAGGAAAAAAAAAATTCAAAGATAACATAAAAGTACTAGGGAGGCTTTTTGCACTGCTTTACTTTTTCAGTTGTGGGTTTTTTTCTGGGGTGGGTAGGTTTGTAAGGCTCTGATTGACTGAACATAGTCCTCAGAGTGAACAGAATAGCACAGGATTCAATTCTGTTTAAGTTAGCTATTTAAAACTATAGAAGTCCTAGTTCCCTAGATTGTAGTCCAGGTTCTCTTTTTTGGGAAAACTGGTAGCTAGAATGGGAGGCAAAGGTAAAGGGTGACTGTTTATTTCTGAGAAAGCAAGAATCTGGGGATTTGCCCAAGAATAGAACAGTGCTACTTCAGTTCTACAGCTTTAGGGGTTGTTCAAGGCTGAAAGGAAAAAAAAGTATTGAGACTGATACTAATTTCTATTTTAATAGCTTCTGTCTCAGCAATTAAAAAAATCTAAAGATTGTATAGCATTAATAACAATCTACACTTCACAATAAAAGATAAGAATATATGGTTTTTAGATCAGATCTTGATCTGACTGAAAACCATTCAAAGCCTAACCCTCCATGGTTAGGCATCTCCTTACCATACAGCTTCTGACCGGAATGTTTTCCAGGCAGAGGGACAGACTGTTTGGCTACGTCTGGTTCCCTAATATTGAGTTAAAAGAGTTACAGTCCTACATATTCATAGATTGAAATTTATATTCCTAGTACCTGCAAATTTAAGAGCCACATGATGACATAAAATCTGTTTGTGCTCTTATTAGAGGAGATTTATTGCAGAAGTGTCCAAATCAGCAACTGCATTTTTCCTCCAAACTTGAATTTTAGAGGATACCAAGAAAACTATATCAAATGCAATAAATTAAAATCCTGTCTGAAGAGGAGTGAAGCAACTAAATTAAGCAACTAGAAATTAAGGCAGATTCAGAATAGCAATAGTTTAATGACATCAGTCTTGAATTACAGTTTTCTTTTATGAACTATTCCCTGTAGATGTAGGGTAAAGCATCTTCAGCATTTTTTTGTCATGAAAAAACCAATTTCTTTAGTTCTCTTTCTGGCTAAGTGCTTTTTGCTTTTCATCAGCCCTGAAGAAGTCAATCATCTATATATAGCATATTGCAACTTAATTCCATTTCCTAATTCCCAGTAGTTACAATCAATGCTGAAAACACCCTACACTTGATTTCTATGTTTTTGTGAAAAACAAGATCTTAATTAGAATTCATGCTCACCATTTGGGAAATACTTTTATTCTTTCACTGTTTTCAAAGAAACCACCTCTCCAATGCAAACATTATGCTTGGTTTCTGATTTACTCTTGTTGGACTTTTTTATAAGGTTTATTGAGAAAGTGTACATTATCAGAATTTTAAGGAATATTCTTTGAAATAAGTCTTCTTTTTGGCTACTGTAAGGCTTAGATGCTATCCTGGCTGTAGAGCTGTCAGCTAGACACAGCCTCAAAATGAGGCTGAAGAACGCAGTGAGGAAGAAGGGCCTCAGTTAATGAGGAAAAAGCTTTAAAAATGCCTTTGATGTGCTTTATATCTGCAGTGGTTTCAAGATATAGAAGAATAAGAGATGGCTGACTGGAAGCTAGAGCACAACAGATAGCTGGGTTGTGACAGAGCCTTCAGTGAGAGAAGATACATGCAAGATGAAAATCAGCTTCTGCGGCAGCAGTCCCAGATGGGCTGTTGTGATGTACAGAGCAATCAAGACTGTAGGAACCAGTGACTGACACCCTGCCACTGACCTGATCTTTGTGTCTGGTGGAGCTGAGAACAACTGGCAGCAGAAAAGGTGGGTAGTTTCTTGCTGATTAGGCAGTGCACTTACTTTTACTACATGAGATGAAATACCTATTTTACTTTGCTCCAGCAACTTGCTAATAACCCCATTTCATGTTCTTTTTGACCATTGTATAATAAATTCTACTTACTCCTAATGCAGTCTACCTCTGTGGTTGCTGGTAATTTACTTCTCTGTCGCACGTGTAACTTTGTTGGTCTCACCAGCTGTTCTATAAAGAAAGTCTGACTTTGTCATGATCTTCCCCTTCCCACAGCTGGTTTAACATTGGTAGAGCTTCATCTGTAACACAGCCTTAAGTATGTTGCAGGCTTTTCTCTGCTTATCTGCAGTGAATGTTTTGGCTGTCTGTTTTTATATCTTGCTTATATCAAAATCCCACACAGATTTGCTACATTTTTGAAGTGGCCAATAAAGTTTTGGTTTCAACCATTGTAAATATACCACCAACCTAGAATTAGCTCTTTAAGTAAGAAAAGCTTGCCTTAGGAGCTATAAAGTACTTGTCTGTCTTTTTTCTTCCATCACAAAAAATCTGTTTTCCTTATACAGTGGCACCAATGCTAAGTGAATAATCTAGGAGGCTTTCCAGGTCTGTTCCTGCACTTACTACCGGATATTATTATAATCTTTATTCAGTGTCTTAACACATAAACAAAAGACCTCACTACATGAGCCTCAAAATCTTAAACCATAATGTTTTGTACTATTCAATTTCAAATGAGAATATTTCACTCTACACCTTTGGCAGAGTCTTATCTTTCTCTAAGAATATTAGAAAAACTGGATTAAATGGTGAGTAAAGAACCCAGAATACTGGGGGGCATTATAATCTGCAAGAAAATCATTCCATACAGTAAAATATTAAATCATAAACTTACTTTCTGTTGATGAAGACCAACCAAAACCTAGATGGTCTTTTCAATTTTAGGGTTTAATCAAACTGATCATTTTGTACCAGTATATCTTTGAATAATATGTGGACTTACTGTATTAAAAAGAAGACAGAGAAATACTTGTTTCACTGGTGGTCATGCATAATAATCTAAAAAGACTGTATTGAGATTTTGAGAATAACACTTGCAGACCTATTACAGCTTTAGGAATTCAGTTCCATCTGCATGCTCTACTAAGGTCTCTTTGCTACAGGTACCTTATATATTTTATGATACTAAAGAGGATAACAATGCAGCGTGCAACAAGGGCACATTGCTAATAATCCCATTCCCATTAAATATTTAGAATTCTGTCATATTTCATAATCAAAACATAGAAGTAACAAGTTAGAACAACTCCATGCTGGTGAAAATGACTAATTAAGTATTAAAGGCTGTGAGAGGAAGCCATTGCTTGAAAAAAAATCCCTAAAGGGAGAGAAAAGATGCAGTTGCAATAATTTCTAAATGTTTCCCCCCCCTTGATTTTTTGTTTTACTATGGCAGTACTAGGACAAGAGCAGAAATTCCTGAATGCTAAACTGCCTGTAATATTGAAAAATAATTTGATCTCTCTCACCTATAAAATTGAAATATTACTGCTTATATAGGCTCAGGGCAGTTCTCATCAGAAGTGGTAAACCTTAGCACTACAGCTTAGTTTGCAGTGAGGCCCCATAGATTTTGCACGGAGTCAGCCTGAAACAAATCATAGCTGCTCTAATGCTATTCCAGTTGAAGCAATGGGTACTACTCTGTCTCTGTAGCTGTTAGCACTTCATGAGATTGGAACTATTCATGAAAAATTGGATAGTACTAACAGTGAGAGCTACAGCCCCAGCAGGCTCCAGTAAAGAATGCGTTTGAGCTTTCCTCAGCTCCCAGTTTTAAGAGGTTTAGCCAGAGATCCTGACAAGCAATACAGACCTACAAAGCTATATCCACTGTTCAGCAGCACCTACATGGGAGAAAGGGAGCAGGATCTGAAAGACATGCGAGAATGCCAGTGAAATCTCCACCATTTTAGCCACCCAGATTCCTGTCTGCTCTGTGCAGTCAGATCAGAGCAAAGCAGACAGGCTAAGGCTGGGCTTCACAAGTGTTGAATAATATTGGTTTTAACTTTGGATGACAACACATTGCCCATTGTCCTTTTTGGAAGGAAACAGATGTAGAAGCACTAGCAGTTACAAGTTATAACTACTTCCTATGTCATCTTTCTACTAAAAGATCAGTTATCAGTAATCAAATTTGAACTATTTTCTTACAAAGTAGTTGCACCAAAACTCTGTCATAACCCATATATGCCTTTGTAGGGGTCTATAAAGTAGATGAAAGTGAAATATCCCCTAACATATTATAGCAGTTGGATATTCCAGAAGTTTAGGAATACTCTTGCACCTACAGTTCAAATCTTTTGACAGAAAATGCATAAGTATTTCCAAAAGAACACAATTTTTAATATCAGATATCCCATGGATTTTACACTGTATGAACAAGTTGTGGGCAGTTGACAAAAATTATTCTATACTTTACTTCTTTTGACCTCAGACTTTAGCCTTCTTCAATCTGGAATACTGGTATTTTCGGATTAGTATTTTATATCTGAGCTTTAGCAATAGACAAAAAACCAGTTAAGATCCTTTGCACTGAATCACAAATCATACCCATTGTTAATTTAATAAGGTGCAGCACAAAGATGTCTTCAAGTAGTGACTGATTTAGTACTATCCATGACACATTTTTCTATCTTATGCTTCCATATGCTTCCATCTACGCCATATGTAGATGGTGTGGATTTCCTGGAATTTTGATGTATACAAAAGATTTCTATTTTGAACAATTTTATTTCTCATATCAAGTAAAGCAAGTAAATGTGAGATTTAAGATTTGCTGAATTAAGCTCTAAATGTCTTACACTCTCAACCAAAAAAGCTGATGGACACTCATGGCATGTTAAATAACTATTAGATGATGGTCCTCAGGGACAATCTAAGACATCCTCTCCTTAGCAATATGTTAACGTCCCACAAGGTTTTTGAATAGCGTAAGAATTTCAAATACTGTCTCTCAGTATTTAATCTATTGGTTGATCTGGTTATGCCTGTGAATGGCATCAGATAGATCAAATATAATGATGGAAGATTTATAAATGCTTAGCAAAAAGACTTCCTAAGAAACAGGGTAAATCTCTTGGCCAGCACAGGCAACACTCCAGTAATATGGCCAAGAAACTGCCAAATAGTTGTAGTTACTGATCAACTGTATGCTATTAGTTGTAGATGCTAAAAACAGTACTCTTGCTAGAAAAATCTAGATGAGAAACAATAATGCAGCACAGAGCCTGTTTTCAAAGTAGGTGTTTCAAAATATCTGCAAGATATGTTTTATCTTCCTTTATCACCTGCTCAATGCAAGAAAGAAATGGAGTGTTTCATGCTGGGATTTATAATCTCTGTGGACTGTACCATGGTATCAAAGATGAAGTCAGCTACCATCTGCTCCATTTTATGCAAAATAGATGTGGCCCTTGAACTTCTGGCAATTTTCCAATTCAATCCTCCATGCAGATTTCTAACACTCCTGCTTTACAGGATATCCTATTATTCAGCTCAGACAGTAAATTTTACTATTCATGGTCAACTATTTGTTGACTACGTGGCCTTTGACACAGTGGCAGGGCAGAAAGGTATTTACTCTTGGGTTTTTTTGAAAAAACTTAGGAGAATGTTCTGAAACGATATATATACTTTATATATACTATTCATTCTAATGAAACAAGTTCATTCCTTACCACCAGGGTTGTGTAAGTGTTACAGGAGTGCTTAATTACTAGGTTTTACCCCTTTAAACTTTGACTTTATTTTTTTTAAATACACAAATCCTGTTGCACTGTTAATTTAAAAATAAAGACTAAAGGCTTAAGAAGATGATTAATGTACAATTCAAGCAAGAAGCCTGATGCAAAAACATTTTAGTGAACTCAGCCATATCACTGCAATGAACTAATTCTAATTGTTTAGAGAACTTGTGAATTTTGAGTTCTTTTTCAAGATATCATTCAACTTCATTGATGTAAAAGCATAATTTGTCTGAATTGTCAATACCTCTTAAAATCTCAGGCAGTTATATTTTTCCATTTATCTTCATGCTGGCCTTTTATTACCCGAGGCTGAGGTAATACTTTGTAGTTACTGTTAGAAAGAAACTTATATATATATATTTCTTCAAAGATTCCATATGCAGTGGAATGCTGTGGCTCTCTCTTCAGAATGTACTGCAAATTAAAATTGCGTTTGTTCCATTTCAACTCCATGAAACATGCTGTTGATGTTTGATTTCATATAAAAAATTCACTTATGCTTGGTTTTGCATTTATTAAAAATGAGCAACAGAGTAATTTTTCAAAAGTCATACCCTGATCTGCCTGTATATATATTTTTTAAATTTTAAAATGTTGGAGCAGAACATGAAGTATAACTCCAAAAGGCTGTAATTGTTTTTCATGTTAGATTTTTAAATTTCACTATTGTCAGGAAAGATAGGACTCAAGAATAGCAAGCTTACAAAGGCGAAATTAATTCACCTTTTGAACTCTCAATGTGCACCTATTTAGGATTTGATCCTAGTAGTCCTAAACAATTTATCAAATCCAGCGACGCGTTTGTATTCAGATAAAGTCTGTGATAGCAGGGGTTTCTTATCTTCAAAGGAGGAGAGAATTCAGAATCTCAATACAAAGAAAAACCCCATACTCCTGATAAGAACTGTAAATCTTTCCTTTGAAGACTGACACTATGAAGGATTCCTGCTCAGAAAAGCCAGAGCAATATTTTTAAGTTAACAATGTCTGGCCTTACATGTCATACCCTACAAAATGCAAATATTTTGATGAGAGAGCACGCTAGAAGGTGGAACTTATGGGAACTAAAGCGGTTACTATAGCAGATTCAACTTGAGCAGTAGCAATGCTGGAAGTGGCAGTCTAAACAGAACTCCCATGGTTACTGGCATTTTCAATTTGTTGTCATTTCACTCTCATCATAGAGACCTTTA